TTTATTCTTTGTAAAATTTGGTAACACTTGGAGTTCAGCCTACAACCAAGAACTGCTTTTTAGATAATCGCTAGCTTCAGGTAAAAAAACAAACATCTTTATAGAGGTAGGCGAGATGGGAAAACACCTAAGGCAGAGTTACAGGACAAGCAGAAGGCTGTGACCGATGGCATTTCAGGAGCTCTATAAAAAGTGGAAAATAGGTTATGGCTTGACGAACTAAAGGCCAGCAAGATGTGTTTCGGAAAAGATAAAAATTACTTTTTAGTGCCTTTTTATTATCCTGTACGCAGTAAAGGACGTGTATGTGCTGCTTTTATTGGCACATTAGTTTTAGTCGTAATAAAATTGGCGCAGTTGATTTGGCTGCATTAAGTCGGACTTAAGAAATTTCACACCTGAGAAATGAAGCAATAAGACAGGAAAAATTAAGTTATCACCCCAGAAACTGAAAGCATTACAACTAAAAAAGTAATACTGGGTAACTTACCACAAGACCCAACTTTAATGCCAACCATAAAGCTCAAATTAATTCCTAAACATAACACTAAACTTCAGCGCTGCAACATGACCACGAAACTGGACTTAAATTCTTATTAGAAGTGTTTAAATATGTAGTTTTTAGAACAGTGTTTAGCGTGAGGAAGGAACTTATTGTGTTCCAAAAGCTTGCTTCTGTTATAACTTAAGTAACCAATAAACAAAACCACTTATGGGTCAGAATGCATAGCTTATTATTAGCAATACTGCATGTACAGTCATTCTGTGTGAGTTCACCAGCTGTTGTAAGAATGGCAAAAGCAAAAGCTAGTAGTGTAATTTGTCTTCTGGTCGATTGTTCTTAAATAGGTAAATTCGTAAAGAGCAGAGGAAGGCCCCTTTCACACAAGCTGATCAGGAGAGGATCCATGCACGTATCCTCTCCTGATCACAGCAATATGGAGCGGTTGTCACTGCTGTGACGTCCATGTCCATCCAGTTTTTTCCTCCATCTTGCAAAGGAGGAAAAAAGCTGCAATTGCCGGACCCTGTGTCTGTCTATGGGGAATCGGAAGTAAATGGACATGTGTCCGCTTATATCAGATTAGCTCTGATTCAGCACGAATCACCGTTCCATTTGTTTTTCCGGACCTGGCTAGAGTGGGGGGTAACCAGGTGTAAACAGATGCTCGTCCATTTACACATGGCTGCCCATAAACCTGCATTGTGCATGCGATCCGATCTGCCTGAAAAACTCACAGGTGGACCTGATCGGACCGGCCGTGTGAAAGGGGCCTTAATGGGGAAAATACTACATTATGGCAAAAAGATGGAGTTCAGGAAATTTTAAAAAAATACATGTTTGTAAAAAGATACATCGAGACCACTGGAGGAATGAGCATATAAATGTAACCATTGATACTATTTGAATAGCAATGGTCAGATTGATATGCTCATTCCCTCCAGCAGTGAACTTTACCATTGTATCTGTAGTGCGTACTAATATGTATTTATTTCCTCTGATCCTTAGCTATAGCTAGTGGTCAGAAAGTGGTAAGAACATTTGTTGTTTTCCCACTCTCACAACAGCTGGTTAACTCGCACAGAACAAATAGACACGCTGTTTCACTGGACAAATTAGCTATACAAATTTGTTATAAATAGGCCCCTTTGATTTCAAAACCTTCTGCATCAATCAATGGTACAAGACATTTGCAATCATCAGACGGTAATTCAACATTGAACTGCAATTCAACATTGAACAGAACTGCAAAGCACTGTCTGGCTGAGATGTGTTTTACACTCAGATCCAATCCAAAGGTAACAAATGCTTGGATGGCATGTGACCACAACAGACGGGGGCTCAGCTGAGGGACTGCATGGTCACCTAATCAATGCATTCTTCCCTCTGATTCAGGATTATGGAACAAAGAAGTAGTGCTACTAGATAGTTACCAACTCCAAAAGAGAAGAAGTTTCAATTAGTGAACTGCCTATTTCTTCAGCTAGAAGTTAGTTGCAATAATTAAAAAGTATATTTTGGAAACATTGTGTTTGAAGGGCACATTTTTTAGTCCTGAAGCCACTCCGAGGTGAAGAATGCTAAGAGGGCATGGGGCCGGGCAGGAGCTCGGCTGAGGGACTTAATGGTGCTCCGTAGTCGAAAAAGGTTCTGTGCATTCTTCTCTCTGATTCAGGATTATGGAACAAAGCAGTGGCGTTACTATATTGTCACCTGGTCCAAAGAAGAAGGGAGTTGCACTGGGGAACTGACTAATTTTTAACTAGTAACTGGTTGAAATAATATGGAAGTATATTTTGGAAAAAATGTATTTGGGAAAACATCACCAGTGGGTATTTGTAATATCCTCAATCTCCACACTTGATTTATTATGACAAAGCAGTCTTGTCTGCTATTTGGGCAGTATTCTCTCCCTCTCTTAGCAGAGTTATCGCCATCGGTGGGTAGCTGTCAAGCTGTCTTCTCTCCTGCCTCAGTTTATTGGTGACACCAGACACTTACACAACTGTCAAATAACAGAGGTGATGTCAGGAATCGATGCAATAAAGCTAAAGGTTTTGTCTAGGCAAACCTTTGTTTTGTAGAGTAAGTAAGGGTTAGACCGTTTGTCAAGTTTTTACTGTATGTGTCCTAATTGGGAAGGTTTACCCCTCTATTTGTACTGGTGACTGTTGTGAGGGAAAATCAAAAGTTTCACCAGAAGAGGGGAAATCGTCCAATGGGGGCATCTGTTCTGGAGACAACTGTTTAGAAGGGGAAATCCCATTACCTTGGGAGTTTACTCTAACTTGCTTTTGTATCTCTTAGACAGGAAGTGATGGGAAATTTTCCCAATGTTAGAAAGAGAGCAAAAAATCTGGTAGAGGTTTTATCCCTTTCCCCGTGTAATATTGTTTAAAGGCTATAAATACACTTTAACTGAGAGAGCCAAGAGAGAGTGCCCTGTCTTCACGATTCTGCTCAGACAGGAGAGAGAACAGCCTCCAAGAAGTCCTAAAGCCATGCTGAGTACACTACACTACTCTAATAAGGAAATCATTTAACCTAAAAAAAAATATGAAAGGGTCTTTGATAGATAAGGTTGCACTACTCTAACAATTTAAACTTGGAAATTCATATTATTGCAAATGCATATTCTTAACTGGTTTCCTTTAAGATCCATTGTAGGCATGGGTCAGGAGTGTGTAACACACGAACTTCATTGGTCAAGAGTGCATACCCCACGGAGTACAGGGGTCAAGAGTGTGTGACACAGAACACAGGGGTAAATAAAGCATGGAGAAGAGAGCAGGAATCTAGAGTATGTAACATACAGAGTGCAGGGGTCAGGAGTAGGTAACACATGGAATAAAGAGGTCAGGAGCAAGAAATGCATGTTCTGTGTCCCTTCTTGCTATTTATAAGATACTGGCAAACCTTTACTAGGGTAGGATTTTTGAGAGCTCAGCTAAGCTTTTATTTAAAATGTCATAACATTACTATAATACGGTTAACAGATTTTTTTAAATGAAATCCGGAGACAACCTACTGTCCACACCCACTTGTAACCACACCCAAAAAACCACACCCCCATGCCTAACCACACGCACAACACCATGCTCCCTTTTTTAGCATGGCTTGAAGCAAATGGTCGCAGACTTTTGGAAAAGGAAGCAGACATTGAAGATGTAAAGATAAAGTGCTCTGGACACTATAAGGGGTGAAATAATATGGTGTGCACAGTGGTAGTAGCTGAAGATGCATGGTTAAATAAAAACTGAGCCTACTGTACTATAGGTCAAACATGTGTAATGCACAGAGTGCAGGGATCAGGAGTGTGTATTACATAGACTTCAGGGGTCAAGAGTGCATAATGCAAGGACTGCAAGGGTCAGGAGTTTGTAACACATGAACTTCATTGGTCAAGTACAGGGGTCAGGAGTGTGTAACACAGAACACAGGGGTCAATAGTGCATGGAGAAGAGAGCAGGAATCTAGAGTATGTAACATACAGAGTACAGGGGTCATAACTAGGTAATGCTTGGAATACAGGGACATCAGTAGGTAATGCATGGAGTAAAGGGGTCATGAGTACTGTACGTGACAGTGGCAAGTAAAGCAGAGTTTGGAGCTCAGTAGTAAGTAACACAGGGTTAAGTAGTAATGCAGGGTTCAGGAGTCAGTAGTAAGTGATGCAGAGTTCAGTGGTAAGTAGTAAGTGACACAGGGTTCAGGGGTCAATAGTAAGTTACACAGGGTCCTAGAGGTAGCCATCACAGCAGGTACAAAACTGGCTGTATATGACTGCAGTTTACTGCTGCCAGTGACACTGCAGAGGACATTTGTTTCCCAGGGACAGACTTCGGAAAATGGGCACTGTCCCCGGTAAATGGGGAGTAATGGTAATCTTATACTAAAAGGCTTGATTTACACATGCAGCAGACTTTTGCTTTTTTTAGAAAGTGGTTCACAGCCAATTTACAGACCTTCAGGAGGTGATTCTACCACCTCCTGAATTCCTGTTTTTTTTTTTTTTTAGTATCCCAGTGGGGATTTTGCAGTTCCCATGCGCTACTGCCTGCCAAAAGCAACATGGTGTATAACATTTGCCACAATGCAAAGGCGGCCTCTATGTTAGGTGTTAGGTGGACAGTTGGGGGAGTAGATCAATCGCCTCTTTTTACTGCCCCATTGCTACCCATGTGGATGAGGCCTTAGTGGTACCAAAAGCTATAACAACGTAATCTCACAACAGCTACTATAATAACAAGTGCTACAAAGGGGCAGGCACTGATGGTAGAAGGAGTGGAGCATTATTGGAATGGTCAAGGGCACTTTACCCAATAAAACTTCCATAACTGATAATGACAAACCCAATGCCTCCCTACTCAAAGTCACTTCAGCATGTTTATTTTCCAAAGCAAAGGGTGCATTTGAAAGGAAACCTCTAATTAAAAACCAAGAATCCAAAGAAATTGCAAAAGAAGGCAACTATGAGTTAAATGTATTTCCATCTTACCTTTTGTCGTATCTCTTCTTCCATTTTCACTGGCGATCCCAATTCGGCCACTTGCTTCACCCCTTCACTAGAAATACCTCCATATTCCCAAAGCACATAATTCTTAGAGTGTGAGCCGCCAATAATTGCAGACCAATGATTAGCTCTCCCTGTGAATAAAAAGAGACAAACAGTGAGATATATACCACCTATATCGCCTGAATATATACCTATAGCATGGACGCCTAGGAGCATTATTCCTCAGGGCTCATGCACACATGTAAAAATGCTGCATTCAGATCCCTACATGGTGGGACTGGAAACTAAGCTAGAGGAATGGAATAAGAATTTTATGTATGTAAAAGTTTTATGAAAGCACTTAATGGACCACTAAACTGACTATTACATGCATTTTGGTGCAGGATATTTTGCACACTTACTGCCAGCAAGATTCTGTGTAGATATCAATATTCTTTTTACATCCGGGTACATGAATCTACTATCACACTGCTGTATTAACCACTAGCACTGCTGCACTAAATCTTTTTGTTCCCATGTAACTAAATGTTTTTCCTGGTTTTGTTTTTAGTCTTTAAGGATGGTCATACTACAGCACTACAAGGTGCTGCCACTCAATGGGAGGAGAGAAGAGTGGGCAGGATCCTGACAATTGTGTTGGGATCACTTCTCAGCACTGATCCTAGCCCCAGCCATAGTATACTGTATTGAATTGCAAGCTTATGGTGGATAATTGATTACAGGAGTACATTTTGCAATGTATCATTAGGAAACTAAAAATACCAAAAAGGATGTACCCTATTGTTCTCTTTTAACAAGAAGCATGTTAAAAGGAGGAAAGGGCAGTGACCAAGCGCATCTCTGTGCTGTTTCCTCATTCACTGTCCAATAACAGGATAACCTGGGCTTAGAAGAAGTGAGTTGAATGATGCTGGCCATCAGAGGACATCAAGCAGCAGAACAAAAGTGCAATGGGGGGGATACAACTCTAAATTGAAGATTAATATTGTAACAAAAGCAGTTTTTTATTGTAATTGTTAGCTGGAGTTCTGCTTTAACATTTTGCTTTAATTACCTTATTTAGTGTCTCCTTAATAATAAACTTTGGAGGTTCTTTGTTATTCACCTTTCAGCCAATTTGTTCACTTAATAATAATGTTATTATACTTTTACCTCCTTCAGCAAGTGAAGAAAACAAACGTGAAAAAAATACTTTAGATTCTCATTACTTCAACCCATCTGCAGCGACATTAATTCCCCTAACCTGGCACAACATAAGAGGCATGCTTACAGCTGCTACCTCTGCAGGCCTGCACCGATCTCTCCCAATAATAAACTGTTTCGGAGCTGTTAGTGATTTAGCACACAAATGTCACTCTATGATCTACTTCATTACGCACATAAAAAAGAAGAAGTTTCCACTTCTAGTCACATAGTAATATGCTCTAGGCTAAATATGAACAGATTAATCTCCCCTGCTTGTCATTATGAATTGCAGCTTTACACCAGCAAGATTTTAGAGATTCTGCATAGAAAGTGGAAAAGTCTAGACAGCTAGTAGAGTCTGCCACGAAAAGTCCTAGTTGCACTGAAACAAAAGCAAAGGGTGTAGAAAGCAGTGATTCATTCAAGCTCTGTCCCTATTACATTATGTATATGAACAGGATATGCCTACTTTCCATAAGCCACGCCCACTTTTGACCCTAAAATTGGGATAGTCCAACACATGGAAATTTCGACGGTTGAATAAAAAGTAATGCTTTCATGTCTATTACTTACGACTGGATGGAAATATTTAAAAAAATTAAAACAAGATGCGCTTTAGTTATGCACTCTCATGTTTCTACATGGTAATGAGATACGTACATACATTTTTTCCAAAGATCAGTAGGCTCTCTGAAGGTATCACCTTAGTAGTCCACACTATACTTCCGGACCATCCAAGGAACCCGTCGCGCACAAACCTTCCAGTATGCAAGAGCAGCAGTAGATTGACCCACATGCTCTTGCAAAATGCCTGTAATGGCGGATTGTCCTTAAACATTTCAGGGACATGTTCACTGTGAAAGTCATCAGACGCTGTCACAGGTCAGCTACACCATTGATTGTCACACCGTTCAGATATTATTTCCTACCCACCATTGCTTTTTTTGGCCCATTGATGCACAGTACTCACATCAATATACAGTAGTTATCAATATAAACAGCTTGCATACATTTGTGAGTTTCAAGTGGAGCAAACCTTCCCAGGAACTCAATCACTAAATAATACTTAAATTGAAGAGAGAGAGAGTCATTGAAAGTAACGAAACAACCATTCACTGTAATGACCTGCTGCCAACTGAAGTAATAGAAGAGAATCTATACAAGGTGCTGTGCTTGTATACCAGTGCTACGATCTGTTGACAAGATATGAAAGTTGAGTCATTAATTTTCATTGAACTCTCAATATACTATCGCCTTACATTTGTCAAGGTGCTATTTTCACAGCTTTTTTTAAACCCTGCTTACCAATATAGAATCTAGGTCATATCAAATAGGTAATTTAGTGGTAGCAATTTTCATTTTCTGTATTTTAGCCCATTGCTTTTAGCTTGGGTAGTTGCAGCATTGTTGTAATATGGATCTTTTTAAAGAGTTAAAAAATGTTTATGTATGCTCTTAAAGCCCGACCCAAACCATGTTTTATAGACTTGAACTTGAGTGGGGAAGTAGAACCTCTGTAAAATTATCATTGCTGTCTTATTGTGAAGCCAACAACAGCAACCTATCCTAATTGCTACTGGATCCCACTGCTACACTGTGGGGTTTGGGACGACAATATATGCATTTGAGGTGTTTTAAGTACCCTCAGCATGGCTGCCAGGACCAATCATGGGCCAAAGGTCCTGCCATCTCCAAATTCTCCACAAGCTGCTCCATTGAACATCACACTAATATAGGAGACATTCCACCAAATATTTTCTTTACACAGTCATATAATATAAAATCCTCTCCTGGCCAGTCACCTGTCTGGGACCAACTACTCTTCAGCCCAACATTATGTAGACTAAATGTACCAAGCTTCATCCAAACCCTAAATACTCCATGTCATGGGACCACTCCATTCTGATTATGCATGTAAGTGTTCAATCTATAGTGTGAAGTTATCCATGCTCATGATCCTCCCTCAAAATATTTCACGTAAAGAGACATAGGGCTGATTTTGCACTAGGCTAGGTACTTGCTGGATAACCAATATGTCTACAAGTTTAGGTGGGTTGAGAAAAAAAATAATTTGGGTATTGAACCCCTGTCTGGGTTTAGAGAAAGGATATGAGCAAGACAGTAGAATGCATATATATGTGTACTGAAGTATATTACAAACTTGTCCCCAGCACTGGATCTTGTGGAGTGTTGAGATTTGAATTTGAGTCAAACTCAAATTCAACTTGAATTTCCAGAGTTTAAATTTGTAAAATCTTTCAAATTACATGGAAGTCTATAGGGGACCATTTTGCTGGAGAGCTGCTAGCTAGACAAGCTATTGTCAACCAAATGGCATGGGAAGCCCTCACTCAAATAGTGTAGGAAGCCTACAGTTGTTTGCTTTGGTTGTAGTTAGTTTTTACTTAAAAAGGACCTTTACCCATATATTTGAAATGACAACACATACACCTTTATACATTTTTTAGTAATGACAATCTACAAACAGATACTTCTAGATATTTGCCAGCTTTTTATTCTTTGCATACCTTTTTTTTATTTTCCTCCACGGTAGCAATTTTTCCTAAGGGCAGATTAATATATTTCCCTTTACTTCATGAAACTCCGGCACATGTGGCTAGGACATGTGACCATGCACATCATCTCAGGGGAGGAAAATGCCTTTCCCTGAAATGCCATGAGATCACAGATAAGATTTCCAAGCAATGCACTGCTGATCTAATCATCCCGGGATGCAGCGCATGGGCACAAATAACATCACTAATGCCCACTAAGACCAGAAAGTAAATGTAAGATTATTTCGCATCAGCATGCAAAGTGGTCTGCTTTAAAATGCTTCTGATACTAGGTGTTAAAAGGGTATCAAAACAGGAGCTTAAAACATATAAGACACTAAGCTTCACATGTTATAGGTGTATTTTACTGTTATTTTAAGTTTCTTAACATGTAGCAGTAACATGTCTCAAAAAATAAGGATACAAAGCAAAAGAAAGTGTGCTGTTTCTTCAGATTTTAGAAGTTGTTATTTTGACCCCTCTTGTCTGAAAATTTTCATCATATATGCCAAAAACATTCAGTTGGAGTATACCTATTCATAGCAGCCCTCCAAACAGCAAAAGAAGAACATAAAACATGGTCTCTCATTAAGTTCAAAACAATTTGAGTTCGGGACAAATGGTAATTCGGCAGATTCACTCATCCCTGGTCATGTGTGACAGTCCCTTGACCAGGGACGTAGAATACGGGAGGGAGAAAGTCTCTTCCCCCAGTGCTAGATTTCCTATGCAGAGTGGCAAAACATGTAATGTGAAAAGTTTTCAGCTTATCATGCTCCCTGTATATAATGGGGTGTGTACAGTATTACAACCAACTAGTCCTATGGCATGTGTCTGTTCCCTGTTAAATGCCTAATGAGGGGATATGGCCAGTAACCTGCCTTGGTGCTTTTGGATGGCCATGCATTGAATCTGAAAAGGACTTGGAGTGATTGGCATGAACATTTTTTATGGTATTTGAATCACAATATTTGCAAAAGCCACATTCCGCGGGATCTGTGCAATAACCAGCTCTGCTGCTGCAGAAATCTTCCACTCATATCTGTACTAACTCATACATAAGTACTCTGGGGAATGGGAAACTCTATTTATAATGTGAAATGTGTAATATAACATATCACTGTGATATATGGTAAATCTTGTATTGAAGGAGATAATTGTGATCAACGATGGAATTTAAAGTGGCCACCTGCTAGTTTTGTGGCCCTATGAGACAGTGAAAAATATCTGAATCAGTGATTTATGAAATACTGCTAGTCTGGGGGCCCATTGAGAAAGTGAAATATCTGAATCAGTGATTTATGAAATACAAAATTGACGTTGATGAATGCTACAGGCTCTCAATGGGAATGTGCAACGCAATTAATGACTATTTTTGAGTTTACGATAAG